AGACAGATAAAAATTCAAATTCCACAGTCTAATGATTATATAAATTCAAAGGGGAGCATAAATTAAAGAAACAAAAAGACTTTTTATTTAAATGTTAATTTAGTAATTTAAATAAGTAATTAAAACAAGTAGATTAGTAATTAAACAAGTAAAGACATAAAAAGTAAGAAAACCTGACAGAAGAAGAGCAACAGGATGCTTTCTTTATTCTCATGTTTTCCCTTCCAAGTACTTCCGGGAACTGTCCACAGTTCTTATGTATTCATTGTTGGAGGACGTCTAATCTCTTTGAAACATGATGCTGAATTTTTAAAAATCTGATTAAAATTATCGAATAAGGTATGTTGAAACAGCAGTTATGGAAATCATCACCAAGAAAAATAACATACAAAGTTTTCTCCATCCAACAAGATGAGTTATTTGCACAGCGCAGTGGGCACTTTCTAGCCTTTTCAACACACAGAGATGATGCTGACAGTCGCTAATTGAAGTGTAAGTATAATATTCCATTTTTCTGTGTTTAAGGTAATGTCATACATATTTTTATTATCTTCATAACTATCTTCTTCATGTCTACATATTTCATCTACTTGTATTTAATTATTTCTCTAGTTTCAAATATTTTCACTTTTTAGATTCTTTACTTATGAAAAATTCCCTGGAATAAGCAGAAATGCATAAATATTTTTACTAATCTTGAATGGATTGCCAAGTTGCTTTCCAAACACCCAGAAGAATGTAAGTGATATAAAATGACTGTATCAACCTAACCACTGTATTATCAATAGCAAGGACTGAGGTGGGGTGGCTGGGTGGGGTGGCTCAGTTGGCTGAGTATCTGACTCTTGATTTTGGCTCAGGTCATGATCTCAGGGTCATGAGATCAAGCCCCATGTTGGGCTCTGCACTCAGTGATGAATCTGCTTAAAGATTCTCCCTCTCACCCTCTCCCTCTGCCGCTCACCCCTAAACAAACAAAAAAAAATTAAGAAGGATGAACTGTGGGTAAGTGTGAAGGTCATAGGTCAATATAGAGAATTATTCTGAGCTGGCGTGTGAGATCTACAGTACAACAGGTAGAGGTCAGAGCAGAGTTTTGTGTGTGGACCATCTTAGTTTCTTCATCAGAGAAAAGGAGAATTTGAGTGACATACTCTCCAATGATTGTTCCAGTTTTAAATATCCAATTCTCAAGAAGAAGCTAAGCACCTTCTGAAAAATTTTTGCTATTATGTTCTAGAAGAACTGGAGAGATGGTGCTAAGTCTCCATAAGAATTATAGACCCCCAAGAAATCCATTTAAGCAAGCAAGGTGTATTAAGTCCATTATAAGTGCACTTTACTGTAAAGAAAGAGATTGAGATAGAGAGAGAGAGATGGGTGGATGGATGAATGGATGGATGGATGCATGGATGGTGGATACATGGACAGATGGATGGATAGATGGGTATATGGATACGCAGATGGACTAATGGACAGATGGATAGATAAGTAAATGGACAGACAGGTGAATAGATGGATGGATAGATAGATGGACAGATAGACAACAAAGGAAGAGAAGGAAGGAAAAAAAGAAGTCAGTGTTCTCCTCAGTAGAGAAAAGATTTATAAGGTTTCTCAGGAACCAGGCAGCCATTGTCCAAATATCCAAAGACTCAGTTTGAGCCAAGAGACATTTATAGTATTTTATTTCTCAGGGGGAAAAAAAGGAATATATAACATAACAGAGACCTTTTTATAATTTGTTGATTTGTTGACAGAAGAGTCTTATAGGAGCATAAAAATAAAAGACATCATTAGGCATTTAAATTATTTTTAAAATAAGAGCAAAATATAATGTCCTGGAATTCCTGGGATATAAAATATATGATTCAAGTGAAAGTCGGTTTAGGTTTGATTTCTTAAGTTTTGAAAACCTGAGAGAGTGCCCCTTGCTATCATTCCTATTACCAGCGGGAAGCTTTGAGGACCCTGTCTGGGGAGCAGCCCTAGCCTGAATGCCTATAGAGAAGGAATTTAAAAAATCAGGGGGTGCAGAGTCTACCCCTGGTACTGCTGACTCGGTGATGCACTCATCCTGTTGGAGCCCTGCGCCTGAGCCACCCAGGCTCTCCGGTCCAGCCTCACCCTCTGGAACCACGTGTGACTCATGTCCATGTTCCAGCACGTGTCGTTGTACTGCTCCACGGAGGTGCCCAGGGCTTATCCAACTGGCCTGATGTCCTGTTGGTACTGAACAAAGTGCAGTTCCCACCAACAATGGGGGGTGGGACTGGGGCAGACCCCGTGGTTACAGCCAAGCGCTGAACGCTGATCTATAATCACCAATTCTTTTAAAAGGCTTTCTGCTGGCCGGACATAAAACCCTCCACGGGTCAGTCTGCCTTCCCTTCCACTGACCCATCCCGGGAAATGGCCAGTCACACGAGCCGAGGCCTGAGGGGAAGGTGCAGGAGAACGGGCCTGGACAATGTGACCTTGTGTGTGAGGGTGTGTGACTGGGAAGGAAAGGAGCAAGGTTAGAGGTCAAGGTTGCATGGAATATTTCCAAATCCTGCTGACCACCAGCTCCATTTCCATTTCTCCACCAGTTCTAGAACTTTTACAGACCAACCTCAAAAACCAATTGGTTTTATCACATAAACAGTCTCCAAGCTTCTGGGTTTCAAATAAGAAGAGACCACCTGGTTAGCCATTGGAAAGGCAAGAGGACAGAACGCCCAAGAGCCACAGTTCCACGCCCGCTCGATGCTGCCCTCAATCCTGCACACTCACCCCTCACAGCATCCTGCTTCCTTTTCCAATACTTGCTCAAGAAAACAACACAAAGGGGGAGGATGGTCCACGGTGTATCTCACTCAGACCTGTGTTCTAGGCTGCCAGAAGTAACCCTGGCTTTAACTTGGAGATGGCGCAACTGCAGCGCAACTATTTTATTTTATTATTTATTTATTTAAAAGGTTTTATTTATTTATTCATGAGAGACACACAGAGAGAGGCAGAGACACAGGCAGAGGGAGAGGCAGGCTCCTTGTAGGGAGCCCAATGCGGGACTCGATCCCAGGACCCTGTGATCATGAGCTAAGCCGAAGGCAGGTGCTCAACCACTGAGCCACCCAGGTTCCCAAAGCGCAAGAATTTTAAATGACTGGCTCATCAGAACCTAAATACGGGACTCCTACATCCTGGATGATGCTTCCCTGGGTGATGGGCTCCTGACCAACTTTCTTCTTCCTCCTTCTTGTGAGGTTTGTTGACAGGTGCATTTAAATGCTGCTTGGAGACAAAAATAAGCTAGGCACCATCCAGAATAATACCAGTCGGGCTGCGTGCATTTGGTGCTCCATAAATATTTGTAAGATGAGTGAATAATGACATCTTAAGGAGAAAAAGATTGCACTGTGTGGAGTCAGCCCACCAATTTTCAGAGGAGCTCTTCCCTTTTTCTTACCTAAGGTGCTTTCTGAAGTTAGCTTATTATTTGGCTAAAACAACCTCAGTTGAAATACATGATCTGTCACAAGCTATTGATTTGAGAAGGAGAAGACAGTTCCTATTCTTGTATTTTGTTGCTGAGTGCAGCTGCATGCAGGGCGCCGGGCATTGACTAACCTGACATCCTCACAGAGGTAGGGATAACATGCTGACATTAAAATGTACTTACCCTCAGCAATGGTCTGATCATTTTCTCCACTCGATTAATATTACAAAACCATTTCTGCAATTTCAGTATTTTTAAGCGGGTTGAATGAGATTTTCTTAGGGGAGTAATTCTACCAAAGATGAGTTTTTAATACAAACGTGCATGCACATTCATTTTTTTTGGGGGGAGGGGGGGTCTTACTTTGCAGAATACTATTGAATTCAATAAAGCTATCATTTTGGGAACTACACCATGATGCAACCTTGCTAGGCTGCCCTTATACCAGCAAGCGGTCTAGGTAAAGGGACGATCCATTCAATACTAAACCGTGATAAGTTGGTTTTTTAAAAGGAAAAAGTATGCTTACACCAAAAATAAATAAAATGGAAATATTTAGGAAGTTAAATGTTCTTGAGGAGGGGAAGGAGGTAGAGTGGCATATCCACAGGCCAGGGGATGAGGTCACCAACTGGTTGTGGGACCCTGGAAAGCTCACTCACCAGCTCTGAGCTCTGGACTCTTATCTGTAAAACCAGGGGACTGACTAATCTTTTCTGTGGTTTCCTCTACTGCCTGGGTTCTAGGATACCAGAACTCCCATGTCTCTGATTCACACGAGAGGCGTGTGATGATTGTTCTGATTCAGGGTCCGTGCGTATTGGACAAGAAAGCAAAGCACTCCTGTTATAACGCTGGGTGTTTATTCTTTATAACGATGAGCATAAACATACTGCAAAAGAAGAAAAGTTAATTCTCCTCAAATTAATTCTTGGCACATAACTTCAGAGAATGTTTTTAATAAATATCTTCAGCTGTTAACATCAACTCCAAATCTTAATGTTACTTTAATCTCTGGGAAACCAAGGTTTTTGCCAGATTCCAGAGCAGTGGCATTCATATCAACTCAGTACTCGTTTTAAAGCATAAACATCCCTTAATGTCATCAGAGCAAGCAAAGTCAGTGTCTAAATTAATATTCCCTGTGCATGTGGAGATGAATTTTTTTTAAAAAAAATGAGATTGAGCAAGTCCTCTTGAAGTATTCTTTGTGCGTTACTGCTATTGTTCTGTGAATGTCTAAAGCCCTAGGACTTTCTCTTCCGATTATATATGGTATGCAACGCTTGTTTCCAACACCTGCTGGGAAATGTCCCACACGCTGAAAGAAACTGCTTTCATCTTATTAAATTAGCGTGGTTTCAATTCCACATTATCTTTAGTTGCTCAGGCTGTAGTATTACAAGTTGATTGCTTCTGCTTGGCTCTACTAAAAGTTGAAACCTAAAGTCATTTTCTGCTTTATTGACTTGCAGGAGGGAAAACTGAAATTATCCTGGTCATTAGAGAGAGTACTTACAATTTTTTTGCCTTCTATTAACACTGTAGAAGTATTTGTTTCAACATTCCGCAGTATCACACTTCCTTTCTGCTCTCTATAGATGAATTCTTTATCTGCAAGAGAGGAAATAAAAAAAGAAACACGAAACATTAAGGGACTCGGTAGGCTTCTCTGATGGACACCTTCACCAAAGGAACCAACTAGTTCTAACAAAAATAGATTCCATGTTGCATCAAAGGATCCTTTTAATCTGGGAAAGTATATTCAGTTACTCTCCACGTAACCTCACGTAAGGCTTCTTTCTGAGTCTTTTCTCCTCCTCTACACGCTGACATATAAAGCACTAGTGCACATGCCCATAAGGTCTTTTGGACATTCTTGAGCTTTCCTGAGCAGAACACACCACTGGGTGGACAAAACAGAGCAGATCAAGAAACTTGCAATCAAAAGGCAGAGGCAATATTTGGCCGGGAGGGGAGCAATCTCCCGTATCTGGAGTTTGGGTGAAAGCCGTACCTGCACTCGTGCATCCTGGGAGACGTCCAGGTAAGTCCAAACCCTTCCCTGCTATACACCTGGAGGAGCTGGCCGTGTCTCGGTCACGCATATCCTCGAATCCATACACCCCTCCTCAGTATAACCAACTGAGATTTCAAATATCCCCTCGGGAAATTTATAACAAAACACCTACACTTGAGATCAGCATGGTTGTAGAGGTACACCCGCAGGCACCAAGGCATGTGTGTGCCTACCGTGAATGAAAAAGTAGATTTTCTGAAGGACGGGATGGCTGGTGGAGAGGCAGGAGCCAAACAGGGAGGAGAAACACTGTCTTTCTGAGTGAAGGTGGTAATAAGGAGCCACTGTGATGCTCAGGGCATCTCACACAGGAATCAGTTGCTGAATGAACAACACCGTGCAGACTGCATTAATTCAAATGATATTATATCATTTCTACTCTTTATCCTAATTTCATAGAATCCCATTCTTTTTTTCATTCCGTTCTGCTACTTGCTTTTTTCCCCCCTTGCTTTGGTTTTAATTCTCTCTTCTTTTTCCAGCATAAGGTGGAAGCATACACCGTTGGCTTGATTTCCTGTCCTTTCTAATAAAACTAGCAAAGCTAAAAATTTCCCTCCATGGATGGCGTTGGCTACATCTCACAAATTTTGATATCCTGAGTTACATTATTATTCAGTTCAAATTATTTCTAATTTCTCTCACAATGTCTGCTTGGCCCAGTGATTATTTAGAAACATGCTGTTCAATTTGCAAGTGTATAAAGTTATTCTGGCCCTCTTATTTTTATAGATTTTCTAATTTAAATTCACTGGATCAAAGAATACTCTGTACATGATTTCAGTCTTTTAAAACACATTAATATGTTTTTGTGGTCCATAATACAGTCTATCCTCGTAAATGTCCCATATGCACACTTAATGAGATTATTTATATGGCTGCATCTGGTCTAATGTGTGTGTGTGTGTGTGTGTGTGTGTGTGTGTGTGTGGTTTGTTTCCACTCGTCTCCTCCACTTCTTATTTCTGGCTTTCATTTTATTGTTGGGTATTTTTCAGAATTTGAATTTTCCTATTTTAGCTGTATTTCTTTGGGTTTCTTTTAGTGTTTGTCCTAGGGATTAGAATATATACTCAACTTTTCAGTCTACAATGAGTTCATAATGTACCACTTCTCATGAAATGCAGAAATCTATCAAGGTTTCAGTCCATTCCCAGTCCCATGTTGTTATCATTGTTATGTGTATTCCATCAAGATACTTTACATATTCCAGCAGGTGTCATAATTATTGTTTGTAACAGTACATCATTTCTAAAGAGATTAAGAAGAAAAAGTCAAAAAAGAAAACAATGCCTTTTGCATCTGCCAAATATTTGACATATCTGATGCTTTATATATATTAAAGAAGATGAGTTTATGAGGTATCACTTTTCTACCTCTTGAGAACTTCCTTTAAGTATCTGGTTTCTGGATCTGCAGGCAACTGATTCCTTGAATTTGGTTTTACCTGAAAATGTCTTCGGTTAACTTTCTTTTTTGAAGGATATTTTCTCTTTTTTAAAAAATTAAAAAAAAAATTTAAGTCTGCTCCATGCCCAGCATGGAGCCCAACATGGGTCTTGAACTCATGACCCTGAGATCAATACCTGAGCTGAAGTCAAGAGTCAGATGCTTAAGTGACTGGGCCACCCAAGTGCTCTGAAGGATATTTTCTCATAATACAGATTCCTAGGTTGATAGTTTTTATTTTTTTCTCTTGAAATTTTGTTCTATTTTCTTCTGGTCACCATGGTTTCTAATGAGAAGTCAGATATTAACTGAATTGTTATTTTCCTGCATCCTCTTCCTATGGATTTTTTTTTTCCGTTTTCAAGATTGATTTGTGGTCTTTGGTTTCCAACAGTCCAACTACAATGCACTTTTGATTGGGCTTCTTTGTATTTATTCTGTGATGTTTGTTAAGCATCTTGTATCTGCAAATCCATGTCTTCATAAAATCTTTAGTCATTAATTTGTCAAATATTTTTTCCTATTTATCCATCTACTCTCCTGTTACTCCAACTGCACATATATTGAGAAACTAGATATTATCTGAGTCTTTGATGCTCTATGCATCAAGTTTTTTTTCCTGTTCACTCTGAATAATTTCTATTGATCTATCATGAAAGCCACTATGTCTTTTCTTTGTCACGAGTATTTTACTACAGACTCCATCCAGTGCATTTTTTACGTTTCGGCATCTGTGTTCTTATGCTTAGGATTTGCCATTTTGTTCTTTTTACTACTTCCATTTTTCTACAGAGATTCTCATTTCCCTGCTGAGATTTTCATTCACTAAAAACATGCTCATGTTAATTCATTAAGCATAATTATATTTTTAAGATCTTTGTCTATCAGTTTAAATATCTTTTCATTTTGGGGTTAGACTCAATTAATTTTCTTTTATGTTGAAAGTGTGATCCTTTTTTTGGTTCTTTGTAAGTAGGGAAATCTTGCTCTAGATCCTACACATTATGGATATCAGTCTGGACATTCTGGGCTTTGTTAGTATTCTCTAATGAGTGTGGTTGCCTATGCTATGCCAGGTCATTTTCTTTGCTAGGTGTGGACTGCCAATGTTGGGCAGCAGCTTTATTCTCAATTCAGATATTTTACCTGCAGCCGAACTACTTTGATTCTTTTCCCTGCGTGTGTCAGGCTCACAGGTCAGAGACACTACTGTGCCTTTATTTTCTGTCTTATTAATGTCTGTTCTATCCTGCCTCATTATCCCCACTTCTGAACTTTTAAGTTTGACACTTAGCTTATTAATTTCAGCACTTCTACTTCTCTAATATAATCACAACTGTGCTGTAAATTTCCTTAATTATGTCTTTGTTTGAGTCTACAAGTTTTAATGGGTAGTATTCTCATTATTGCTTTGTTCTATGCATTTTTAGTTTCCATCATGATTTCTTCTCCAACCTAGGAGTTATTCGGAACTTCCAATTTGCAAATGTATGCGAAACACTCTTCTTTTTGTTATTGACTTGTAATTTATGACATGTGTTAGAAAAACTTGTATTGCTAATTCTTTGACATTTGTTAAGTCTGGCTTATAGCCTGATGCATGATTCATTTTTGTAAAAGATTTCTTGAGAGAATGGATATTCTCTAATTGTAAGATGCAGGGTTCTATATATACGGTCTTTAAGTTAACCATGCTGGTTATATCATTAAATTGCCTCACTCCTAGCTTATTTTTTGTGTTCTTCACCTTTTGTTAAGAAAAAAACAGTATATTGAAATTTTATAGTATGATGATGGATTGATTAATTCTCCCCGGTTAATCTTCCACATTTTGTTTTATACCTTTTGTAACTCATCAGGCGAGTTCAAGTTTATAATTTTTTTTATCTTCTTAGTGATTTGTAAGGTTTACTTTTTAACTTTATTTTCTATTCCTAATAATGTTTTTAAAAATCATTTCTGTTTTACAGAATAGGCAAAATAATAATCTATGCCTTATATTGCAGGTGTAAAGATTCAATGCCATATGTACATAATACCTGAGATGAGCTTGACACAGTACCTGGCCCAGGGCAGGCTCTCAGCAGGTGTCAGCTGCTGCTCTTCTCTCAGTAGAAGATTTGGAGTCATCTCTGCCTCCTTGTCATCTCTCATCCTCAATATTCCATCCCTTACCTGCGCATACCCCCTTTGAAGGCTTCTCAAACCACCTCGTCCTCTTGCCTTGCAGTATTCCTGCCCTGTGTCTGACCACCACCACCTTCACCATGGATGCCTCCAGCGGCCTTCCCATGACACAAGCTTCCTTGGTTCTACGCTCTGTGCACCCGAGGTCACGTCTCTCTCTTAAAACTTTTTTTTTTCTTCTGGGTCTTTTGGCTAAGACTGCTTTGGCCAAACTCCTTAGCCTGACATTCAAGGTCCTTTGCATTCTGGCCTGGGTTTCTCTTCCCATTTTAATTTGTTGCCACCCCACATTAAGCATCTTAAGCCACGTGGTGCCTTCCATGCTTCCCAGATTCTTCAGGTCACTGCCTGGCCCTCAATGCCCTTCTTCCATTTGTGCCAGGAGAGATCTATCTGGGCTTATTAGCACAGAGGTCTCTCCTTTGCAAGGATTTTCATGCTTCTGCCAGGCAGGTTTAGCTCCTCTCTGCTATGCTCCACCCTAGTCCTCCTCTACGCTCATGCAGCCTGCTGTTCTTTGTTGACTGTTAGGACCATCTCCTTCATGAGTGAGCCTGATGCAAGGGGAGAGGCCACACGTTCTTGAGTTCCTACCTCTAAAACCGAAGGTAGTGGCTAACAGGAAAATAGATGCTAAAATGCGTGATGCATTCACCAAATTAATACCGTCATGTGTCTGATCACCAAATATGTAACCAGCACATGACAAGGTAGGGAGACCTGCTGTGTGAGAGAGACTGCTCCAGGCCGATGAGGTCAGAGGAAGGAGGCATGGATATGGTAGTTTTGCAAATTATACCTTTTGTGCCTCATGAGATTCTGGTATAGCTATTTTATTCCCTCACTGCAGTGCAGCGAGATGCCTCAGAGGGAAGGCAAAGTGCATTTGGATGCTCTG